AGTTATTCTAATAAAACCCCATTATTATTGTTATATGAATGTACGGTAGTTATTCTATTAAAATCCATTCTTATTGTTATATCAATGTACGGTAGTTATTCTAATAAAACCCCATTATTATTGTTATATCAAAGTACGGTAGTTATTCTATTAAAAACTCATTATTGTTGTTATATTGATGTTGGTAAGTTATTCTGTTAAAATAACCCTTAATGATACGATATTATTTGTCGTGTCTTCTTTCTGTGGTTAGCTACATTTTGTTTTCCACAAACGTCCAAAGCCTGCTTTACAACAAATCAGTTAGTTTAAGGGAATTTCACGGTGGTTGTCTCAAATAATTAAAGAATTCTTCTATAGATGATGGATAAAAAAAAAGTTGAAACGGGCAACAAATTTCTTCACAAGTGGTACACTAAACTAGGAAGCTGTTGCCCATTTCAACTTTTTTCATTAAGTAACTCCGTTTATCCTTATTCTTTCAGAATCCCCCCTACGTTTCGCTGACAGAAGACACTTTGAAGGGTAACGATCGTTATCAAGGCTACTGTGTAGACCTCATTGAAGAGATCTCGAAAGAACTCGGGTTCAAGTACAAGTTCAGAGAAGTGAGTGACCACACCTACGGCAAGAAGAACCAGTGGGGGGAGTGGAACGGCATGATCCAAGAGCTGATTGAAGGGGTTTGTTTTCACAATTTCGCCTGAATAAGATTTTTAAAATAACAAATAGTTCGCTATTCCCGTTTGTAATTCCTTAGTAAATTATTAAGGAACTTAATAAGTACTCATTCACCTTTCTGTTTCGTTTTCGGCCCAATATCAGTCGCCACCCATTGGGGCCGAAAACGTGTGAAATAAATAACTGAAAATTCCTGGAGAAAAACTGCTGATTTTGTTTTCCTAATATTATTATCCATTTTACGAGTCTTAAAGGTTATAACTTAACCTTAGTAAACTGTATAATATTAGTCACAGAAGCCTGATGCATAACTAGAGTATCAAAGCACATAAATTAGGCTTAATTGACCAGCGTTGTTTAAACATTTGTTTGACAACAAGTAAAAGCTTGGAATGGTCTATTCTTTTATTGGGTGTGTGTCTGTGAGCCAGACTAGTTTAGAAGAATTCCACTCCTCATCAGTGACCCTGGACACGACCACCAATGAAACTTCAGACGAAACCAAGTAAAACACTTAAAAACACCATTTCGATTTTCGATACCTCATTACTATAAAGGCTTGGTTTAGTCTGAAGTTTCATTCGGTGGTCGTGTGTAGGGTCACTGATGAGGAATGGAATTCTACGAAACTAGTCTGACTCACCCCAATGAAAGAACAGATCATACTAAGCTTTTACTTAGTGTTAAACAAATGTTTAAATAACTGTGTTTAACGATGTATCAGCTGCCTAGTGTCGCCTAAAAATACGAAGAAGTAAATTGTGGCGGAATGCTACAAGTTCTTCCAATACCTATAGAATGAGAGGTTTCTTTTTTTGTGAGTGTAAAACACCTAAAAACACCATTTCGAATAAAGCTTAATGTATACATTAAACTTAGTGTTAAGCCTACTTGTCACCTAAAAATGCTAAGCCTACTTCTCTTTCCTATTTATAATGTAAAACTCTTCCGGATGTACGTAAAGTAAAATGAATAAATTAAAATTTTTGGGGAAGAGATCAGGATATTAGATCGTTTTGATTTATTGAAGTATAGTTAATGTTTTTCTGTCGATCTGTCTAGAAAGCAGATCTGGCGGTCGGAGACTTAACGGTGACCTACGAGCGGGAAAGTGCTGTCGACTTTACCATGCCATTTATGAACTTGGGAATAAGCATTCTTTTCAAGAAACCCACAAAGAAAATTCCCATGTTATTCTCGTTCCTTTCCCCGCTGTCCCTGGAGGTTTGGGTTTACATGGTTACCGCATTTCTTGGAGTTAGTCTCTTTCTTTTTATCGTAGCCAGGTTCAGTCCATACGAGTGGACAAACCCTCACCCCTGTGACCCGAACCCTGATACTCTGGAGAACCAGTTCACTCTTCTTAACACTTTGTGGTTTACTGTCGGTAGTCTCTTGATGCAAGGGTGTGAAGTAAATCCCAGGTGAGTGATTAATTAGTCGTAACCTCGGGACCTAAATTTAGGTCATTTAGCAGCTTTTATTTAGCATCTTCTTCTAAATAATACTTTAATGATAAAAGTTTGAGGCTCCAGACATCAGGAAAGTACTACATTGTGATTATTACTTATGTTTATAGCATTTAAGACGTTAAACTCTAAAAAAGGTATTTTGTAAGCTTTATAATATTACTTAATTGTTATTAATATCAATTACTAAACACATAGGTAGAATCAAGTGATAAAACCTAATAAATAAATAAACCAGATTATTTCATTTGATTATCACCAGACTGTTATACTTAACTACCACCAGGTTATCTTATTTGAATATCACCAGACTGTTATACTTAACTACTACCAACTTATCTTGCTTGTCTAACACCAGATTATATTACTTGACTATTACCAGGTGGCTGTCAACACAAAGTTTCTATTTAGTTTACTTACTTACGATTATGGATCTTATATGATCTGACATACCACGTGTTTCTTAGGGCTATGTCTACGAGAGTAGTTTCTGGAATCTGGTGGTTCTTTACCCTCATCATGGTGTCCTCGTACACAGCTAATCTTGCAGCGTTCCTGACTGCACAGCGTCTGTCTTCACCAATAGAGAGCGCTGAAGATCTAGCTAAGCAAACGTCCATTCAATATGGCTGCCTACAGTCAGGGTCAACGCAGGAGTTTTTCAAGGTTAGAAGCTTGATGAATATAATAATATCCTTCTCAATCAAACATCAACTTCATTTAACATTTTGCCCCTGTAAAACTGTTTTTGCTTTTTGACACTGTTGTCAGACAGAGATACAAATTACGTTAAAACTCACAGGAGTGAGTTAGAAACTTGTAATAAGTCTTATTTAATTAAATTTAATTAGTTTCATGGCTTAGAATTTAACCAGAAAGAATAGTTTAAATTACATCACTAGGGGGCGACACTGGACGTTTAACACGCAATCGAGGTGATGGAAAATAAATGAAAGCAATGAAAGATAAACGCATGCAAAGAAAGCACTCTTAGTTATCATCCTTATACTTAATTCCTAAGTGATATTTGTATTACAGTTTTTCATTCTTGTTTCGTATGTCGTATAAGCTAACTATCATATTTCTCTTCCAGTTTTGAAATATTCATAATTTTCAGCTACTGCTATAGTAAGGAAATAATTGTGGTTATTTAAAAATGTGGACACGCTCAAATACCAAACATTTCACGCGCTCAATCAACCAGAACAATATGCATCTAACGAATTACGATAAATTTCGTGAACCATCTATTTAAAGAACTCAGGATATTTCACAAGTGCTATTTATTTGAAGAATCAAGCCCTGTTAATTCAATTAATTCACCAACGTTAATTCATCTCTCCGCTTCAAACCATAGTTACTGTTTCTATACTGGTCTTACGAGAGAAAATACAGCCTGTTTTATAAAAACAGTCAACAAAAGGGGCTTCAATACGCTGTGGGGGTGTGGTACATTGATTTGTTTATCTAATAATCTAACAAGAGTATTCTTATGTCCAGTCCTAAAGTTGGATGTTACAGAGTGTTCGAACATATGATTTGACTCCAGAAAACAATGTGCTGTTTGTTCTTGGTCTCTACTACAAAACAAAACAATAACTAGGTAAAAATTCAACGTTTATTTTTCGTTCTTCGGAACGTAAGCTGAGCTTTCTTTTGATAAACTTGGGTTTAAACTGAGCGTGAACTTTTATTATTGCTGTTGTTATTATCACAGTCGTTTTCTGGCCGTTTAAGATATATATTTTTAATGAAATTGTTTGCGTGATATAAGGAATGTTACTTCATGTCTTTGTGTAACATTGTACACGTAACATAATGTATTTTAATCACTGTATAATCCTGTAATATCAACCTGGATAAAAGTGTCAGCTAAATGAATTAATTAACATTATAAGGTTATTTGTACCCCATGCAAACTTTCAAGAACGTGAACGTCTTTAATTCATTACAAGTTTACAGATTTTACAGTAAGGAAGAATATTTTTTAAAACAGATGAGACGTTTCGATCATTCGCAAAAACGTCAACCTTTATGCTAATAATTATTACCTTTGACAGCTACAGTTATTAATTAACCTTTCGAACCCATCCAAACAGGAATCAGATATCTCGACATTCAAACGGATGTGGAATTTCATGGAGTCAGCGCGCCCTAGCGTCTTTGTCGAGTCCAACTTTAAAGCTGTGGAACGAGTTAAAAAGGGAAACTTTGCTTTTCTAATGGAATCTACCAGTATTGAGTATATAGTAGAAAGAAACTGTGATCTTATGCAAATCGGTGGACTTCTAGATTCTAAAGGTTATGGGATTGCAACGCCCCCTGGTGAGTTAATGAAGTGCGTTAATTAAATCTTTTACTAAGTTTGATCATTTTAATTTGGATAGCACGCATAATAAATATATTATTATGGTATTTTTTTTATCAAAGTTCATCTGTCTAATCGTATTCACCTTGACGAATCTTGCGTAAAACATCAGTAACATTCTATTGGTTAAATAAATTTGTGTAAAACGCCGATAACTTTCCATTGGTTAACTAAGCTTGTTTAAAATGCCGATAACTTTCCATTGGTTTACTAAGCTTGTTTAAAATGCCGATAACTTTCTTGGTTAACTAAATTTGCGTAAAACATCGATAACATTTTATTGGTTAAATAAATTTGTGTAATACGTCGATAACTTTCTATTGGTTAACTAAACTTGTGCAAAACACCAATAACTTACTATTGGTTAACTAACCGTGTGTAAAACGCCGATAACTTTCTTATAGTTACCTAATCTCAAAGCTATTGAACATTCTCAGTCGAAAGGTTTTGGATATTACGTTAATTAGATAATCCAATATTGTGTCCTGAATTAATCATAATTTGGTGATTTGTACTGATATAAACCAGTGGCTCAGTGGTAAATTTATGGGCTTATAAACGCTAAGATTTGGAGCTAGATCTGTGCCGTGGGTATATCGGAAATAGCCCATTTTGCAGTATTATGTTTAAACAAACAAACAAATTTTCTGATTTAGGCCATAAATTGGAAAAGGAGCTTTGTGCGAAATTGATTTCTACAGAATACTTTAATATTCAAAAACAATTGATGAAAGCTTAGTAACGGTTAAGGAACAGATAAAAGTACGAATTACACTGAATGTTTCTAACATACAGATTTTGTGTTTTGTTCTCAAGGTTCTCCGTATCGGACGCTATTATCAAGTACCATTCTCAAACTCCAAGAAAGTGGTACCTTACAAATGCTGAAACAGAGATGGTGGAAAAACAAAGGGAAAAACTGTACTCTCGAGGTGACAAGTCAATCCGTTTCAGCTAGTGAACTTGGGTTGGACAATGTAGGGGGCGTCTTTTTATTGCTGTTCATTGGTTTATGTGTAGCGTGTGTAATAGTTATTTTGGAATTTATCTGGAAATTACGGAGAGTCCCTATTGAAGAAAGGGTAAGTCATTTTGTGAAAATGTATACACACAGTTAGTGCTAATTTTACAGTTTCTCTTGGCTCTGCTTGCACTCGAAAAGAATTGTGGTATGCGACCAATTTCAGAACTAAAAAAACTAAACCAGAACTAAAATAAGATAAATACACACACTGAGCCCAAAATAAGCACAGAAAATTTTTTCAGAAGAAAAAAAACAAATAAAAAAAAGGGACCCTATAATCAATAACAACAAGAAGAAAACACACTAAAATCGAATATTCGCTTTTCTGTAGGCTCTTATAGATTCATCACAGTCTCCTGTAATGGTATTTCGCCCTGCTTTTTTAGCTGCACGTGAGAGGTTAAATCTCTATGGATGAGAATGAAATACTGCCAGCACTAGAGTACCTTTAGTTTGAGATAACTTCTTCGACATCAGTTTTATAGCCCGAGGTATTAAAATTTCATTCCCGGAATGCCTTCTAGACTTCTTAGCAGCCTACTGAAAATTCGTTTATTTTTTGGATTTTCTGTTAGTTTTTGAATGACTATAAAGAAGAAATAAAACGTTCTTAGCTATCTAGGAAATGCAGGACTAAAATGACGTGTAGACACGAAAAATGTAACACATATATATATTTACTTTAGATTTATATATGATTAGCTACTTCACTAAATTATGCAAGACAATAGAACAGAAAAAGAAAATCAAACTCGTATAACATGCCTATATAATTCTAATTCAGGATTTTCACTTAATTGAATACATTTGTCAGTAAGTCACGATTTGTTTAAAGTCAACAGCAAGTTAAGATTGTGTTAGATTCACAATTAACATAAAAGATCAAATTACCGGAATTGCAATTAGCGCCATCTCTTGCCAATTTGTTTCTTTACCTCCATGAAAAACAACGAATTGGAAAACTATCCATTGAATGATACTCTTGTTATCTTTAAACATATATTTAAACTTTAATAAGGAAGTGAATAATACTAAAATGTTTTTGAATAAAACATTTTCCCAATTAGCATGATAGATGGTTTTATTTATTATTATTTAGATAAAGTAACAAAAAAATGTTAAGCAAATAATATTTAATGTTTCAAAACATATAACAAAGGTAACATTACAATATACAGGCACGTGTATAATGGTTGAGAAAATTAATTAAATAGACTTAAAAAAATAACGAGAAGTATACATCCGCATATTTAAAACATCTAATGTGATTTAAATGTTCTAGATTTCATTTTAGGAATTTAGTTGGACCACCAGATGGCTAGAAACACGCGTAATGAACGTACAGACTTTGCGGTGAATAATCAATCTAGTACACGTGACCTTGTGCTGGGCGAGTTATATATATACGTCACATTCTCGCTAGAAGACGGGAGGAGAAGATACTCACGTATAAGAGACCTTATTGATTAACAAACTTAGATCAGGGCTGAAAGAGATGAAAAGTTTCAGCAGTTAAACTATTAATAAAACAAAGCTGTAACTTAGATAAAGCTATCGGCAAACTAGAATATGGCTATAATCATTAATAAGGTGGAATATCGCCAGAGTTATTAGTAAGCTTGGATATAGCAAGTTGGGGTATCGCCAAGGTAATTAGCAAGTTAAGATATCGCCAGAGTTATTAGTAAGCTTGGATATAGCAAGTTGGGGTATCGCCAAGGTAATTAGCAAGTTAAGATATCGCCAGAGTTATTAGTAAGCTTGGATATAGCAAGTTGGGGTATCGCCAAGGTAATTAGCAAGTTAAGATATCGCCAGAGTCATAAATAAGCTAGAATATTATTAGAGTAAATAGCAAGCATTAAAAAGGAGGCTCGGACATCGCCAGAGTCATAAATAAGATGGAATATGATTAGAGTTATTAACAAGCTCGGACATCGCCAGAGTCATAAATAAGGTGTAATATGATTAGAGTTATTAGCAAGCTCAGACATCGCTAGAGTCATTAGCAGGCTCG